TCCGAATGGCTGCGATGTCCATTCTTCCCAGCAACATCCTGGCGGCCCATGTTGGATGTGTTGCACTAAGAGTGTGCAATTGCTGTACCTCAAGAAAATGTCGTACGCAAATGTTATTGGGCTAACGTCAAGCTATATAATTTTTTGTTGGTACGTTCTGTTTTGACTGGGGCTGAGTAGGTACTGAAAATATCGACGGGATTGTTGTAATGAAGCTATTAGAGATCATTGATGGTATTCCGACCGTTCCCATCTGATTGTAGTTTCTGCTCCTATAGATAGTTTTTACTAGCGGAAGTGGCCATATGATGGGATGGCACGGCTGGATATGCCTCGCAGTTGTTGTTTTCACTTCGCATGACTGCCATAACTCCCCTGATGTGATAAGGGGCTTATGTTCCTTGATGTTTAGTCTGTAATGTTTGTTTGGATGTACTTGTGGCCTCGTACTGTTGGTAATGCTCGCCAAATGGTAGAAACCACGCCACGCGGTTACAATGACGATTCCAAAGTAACCTCAAACTTGGGCAATGAAACCTTTGTATTGTGGAAAGAATCAACAACATAGCAACGAGCAAACAAAATAACAAAATAATGCTAATGGAGAATGACATCTAAAATAAAAATAAATATCATGTATTAGAATCGGATAAGGCACAAGTAAGTGATATTCATGTTAAAAATTGAGCAGCTGTGCAAGCAACTACTATCACAGTACATTGTCAGCTACTTATATGCATGAGGTTACATCATTAAGCCAAAACCGTGGCTAAAGAAGAAGTATGAGGAATTCGCATCTGGAGCACATCTGCGCATTCCACTGATAGAAGAGAACACTAGGGACTGTTAAGTTCGTACAGCTTACAACCTTTATAATATAAAACTATAAACAATAACGACAATAATATATATATTATATATATTATATATGTTTATATTATATTATATAATATATATATATATATAACAATAAGCGACAACAACAATATAAAATACATAATTGATCATGGCCAAAACAAGAGAAAGCTTGTAACACCTGATAAAGGGTAAATAAAAAGATGAAGCAAGATAGCTTGAAACTTGTGCGTCTGCTCCGATAAAATGCAGCTTCCGTTGAACGCCCACTATATATGTGTGAAGAATGTTTTGATATAAGAAAAGATAAAGAGACGGGCCCTGCGACTGCACTTCACTGAAGCGTAGCATACTGTAAAGCGAATTTGAATGTTGAATGAGTCGCATTTTGGCGAGTTGCTAGTAATATTGTGAGAGGTGTAGTAATCATATTAGTAGAGCACTTGTCTTGGAGTTAAGGTGTTGTACTGTGTTCCCAATGGTAGCTGGTATCATTCTAGGAGTAGGTGTAATTTGATATTCCTCCAAAGCTGTCGCCTTCGTCCATACTCGTTGTTGACATTGTCGTAGATATAGATGTTGTTTTAGAAGCAGTTGAAGAGGGGTAGCCGTGCTAAGTGAAGTTACTCGCGTACGGGGTTGTTGTTGGCGAGCTTCCTGCTGTCGACAGAATGGTTGTTGTTGTTATGATCTTAATGGATTCCGCTTCCATGATTTGAGTCGTAGCTTCGGCTAACATAGCCGGCTTGGCCCTTGTGATAGTGGCAGGTGCAAATGTGGTTGCTGAATTGTAGTCACTGTGAATCTTTTTTCAACTTTGAAATCCCATCCCGGTTCCAATAATGATACTGGGAGATTGAATGGGGCCTTACCAAATTACTCGTCAAAAACTGTAGAGATTCCTAATTCCAGGTCTTGGTGAACATTGTTCTCTGCGTAATTTAGAGCCCTCAAACTTGCAAGTCTTCTAAAGAGAAGCAATTGTTTTGTACGGTACTCGGCATATCATATAGTGCGCAATACGACGAAACGAGGATCCTTTATGTTATACAGACGTGCTCTTCTTGCGAAATCGTTATTTACAACTTTCCATCGCTTCATATCTAAGAGAATTTTTCCCTCACGATCGGGCGCGTGCGAAAGTTTGACATTTTCTCCAACTCGTGAATATCGAACAGTCGTTCAATGAGCAGAACATTCAGCTGGCATTTCAAACTGTGACGTACGGCCATACCGGTCTATAAGATAGCGTGTGGCTAGTTTTATTCTACGGCGGTGTGCTATCCGTGCGACATAGTCTTGTTCCATGAGGTTTTGCGGTATATACGGAAAGGTAATTATGGGTTTGATGTTGTTAAATAATTATTACCCAACTCGCAATACTGAGTCAGTTGAGCATGCGGGAAATAATCATCAGAAAATTGAAATACGAGGTCAGGGTAGGGCAGCACCACGTGTTTTAGGGTAACAAAAGCTTATTAAGAGCCAATATTTACAAGCAAAAAGGTGTGACGTCGGTAGACTCCCAAACGATAGTATACTCTGGGGCGAAGCAGAATCCGTTCGTTAGAGAGCAATTTTCGTATCTCCTAGTGAGCTGATAATACTTTGCCCATCAAATGAGGCCATTTGTCCTTCTTTAAGGTTATAGATGCTACGCAAATATTTCCTAGTGCCCCAAAGTAGGTATTGTAGGGTATCATCTTCGATGTCTTCTGTCATCCGCATTCCGGGTGAGATGTTAATCAGGCCATGGCCACGAACCTCTCCTGTACGCTTATACCTAGTGCGCGCTTCTTCGCATAGTTCTTGTCAGATGGATATGAGACGTCGGTGGAGGATAGCCTTACTTGTACGAATGCGAAGGAAACTACTTATAGAGACCT